AAAACCCACACAAATTCCAATCTGCATTGAGGTCCCATTTTAGTACGTTGTGGTGGTGTAATAGACATATAAATAGCACAACGAAAAACTCGTAAATGTGAAATATTAGGCTAATGCTCGAACACGAGTTGTATTGATGAGTATTGGTGGTTGGTTATAAGTCTAAATCAAACCAATGATGCAGCATGTAAGATGGTATGTCCTAATGCAGAAACTGGCAGTTTAATTTTCATGAGCAAAGTGCGAGCTATTGATTAAAGCTACTTGATAAATGCTTCTGCTAAACTATTTTGAGTATGGACATAAGGAACAGGGTGTTCAACATCAATGCCTAGTGTCATGCAGTAATCATAAAAGGTTTGAGACGTAAATTCACCAGCGTTATCAAGTTGGATTGACTTAATAGGGTAATCTAGGAACTGTGCTCGCAACTTAATTATCTAAGCAAGAAGTCTCGCAAAAGCTACATTTCGAGTATACAAGAGGCAAACATGTGACCATTGGGTAGATGCATCAACCAAAACCATAAAATATCAAAATGGTCCACAAGGTGGTTAAATAGGCCCACAAATATCCCCTTGAATTCTTTGCAAAAATGATGGGGATTCAGCATCAACCTTTAATTGTGATGGTCTAATAACCAACTTCCTTTAAGAGCAAGTTTTGTAATGGATGCCCATTAGAGTTGGTAATGATTCTACGTATTATGGTGGATCCTGGATGACCCAAACGATCATGCCAAAGCATGTAAATCTTTGGATCAATGAACTTCTGGTTCACGACAGTATATGCTTCCATTGTCTTTATGTATGTATAATACAATCCACTCGATAAACCACGCAACTTCTCCAATGTACTTTTTTGGGTATCATTAGAGGTAATGCATATATATTCCATATTTCCTGCACTTTTTGTTTCAATTTGGTATCCATTTAAATGTATGTCTTTAAAACTCAACAAATTTCGAGTAGATTAAGTAGCATACAACGCATTTTGTATGGATAATATCATTCTATTTGGTAACATGATCTGGGCTTTTCCTGAGCCTTCAATTACATATGAGTGATATTATTGTTACCTTTACTTTTGCAAGTATCAAGCTTGAAAAATATTTTCGATCTTGAAGTATTGTATGCGTGGTTGCACTGTCTGCAAGATAGATATCTCCGCCGTTGCTCTTGTTTTGAGAATACCCATAGTTTTTCTCCATGTTCTCTGAGTAAAGGAATCATAGTTAAAAGCAATTTATTCATAACAGGAAATTGAAATGCCATTTTTATTGAATTGAAATGCGAGTTTTGAACTACAAGTTCATATAATAAGAGTACATCAAACAAAAATTATTCAATCAGACCGATACACTTCATTCCCTCTTTCCATAATGAAATCTGAGACATCCAGGTGGGTTGTGTTTAATTGCCCTGATAAATTGAATATTGGATCATGTATATCCATTGTTTAGCCTGATCGAGGAAATTAGTTTCAACACCCTTCTCCTTAAGGGAGGCTTGATATAAGTCCACCAGATATTTTGGAGTACGACGCGTATGTGCACAGTGCCTATTGCCACCAAATCTATGACAGGTCCTTCAGGGTTTCTAGGAGTGTTATTCATATGGGCTTTTCCATTATGGCGATTAGCAATTTTGAAGCTCAGGCCTGAATTATGCCTTGGACCTTGGTTGTAAAACTAGACACCATGATTATTTCCTTTCCCGTTCCACCGACCTCACCTGTGACCACGTCCTCGTTTATGGTCACGAGAGGATGTGGTGTTCATTTCAAGGGAAGCAACATTCACTTCTGGGAATGGTGTCGATATAGTAGGTCAAAACTGATGATTTTTCATCAGAAGCTCATTGTTTTGTTCAGCCAAAAAAAGCATCGATATCAGCTAATTGTACTCCGTAAAACTTTACTCTCTATATTGCTACTGCAGGAGCACGTTGGAGGCATTAAAGGTGCTGAAAGTCTTTTCCAGCATATCTTCCTCGGTGATGGTCTCCCCACAAAGTTTCATCTGGGAGCTAATTCTGAATGTTGCAAAGTTGTACTCTACAACCAACTTGAAATCCTGGATCTTCAGGTGTGTCCACTCATAACGAGCCCTTGGAAGGATCACCATTTTCTGGTGATTATATCTATATCTCAATGCCTTCCAGAAGGTTAATGGATTTTTAACCGTTAGGTACTCGTTTTTCAATCCTTCATCAAGGTGGCAACAGATAAAGATCATGGTCTTCGCTCGATCTTGAGAGGATGCACTGTTTCCCTTCTTAATGGTTTCTCGAAGATTTTCTGCCTCTAGATGGATCTTGGTATAAGGTAGTTCTTCCCAATAATATTCAGGCAACAAAATCAAGTTTTACCAAGTTCACCATTTTCTATTTTGAAGGGAAAATGAGATGTGTAAGAACTTGCAATAATATGTATTCTAGAGGAATGTAGTGTTAGAACTTCTAGTTCTTACAAATTTTTATTTTTATTTTTATCTTCAAGCCAAAATGATAAGAACTCGAAATTTCAAGCTTAAGATTTACATGATTAATGAGGAGGATGATTGTACTACACCACTCTCATTGAAACAATATAGCATAGGATGGGCAATTATACCACACCACTTAAGCAGCAGGAAAATTTAAATATGCAGAGCAGGTTGGACGATTATATCGCACCACCTAAAATTGCAATAAAATTAAATCTGCAGTTCAAGATGGGCGATGATACCGCACCATCTTTGATCACAGTAAAATTAACATTAATAAATAATGGGTTAGTAATCAGGAGTTACACCAAACAAGAAATCAAAAATATAAGTAATTGCTATATTGAGATGTGACATCCCACATCGCCCAGGGGACTGATCCTTATATGTATATTCCATCTCTACCTAGCACGAGGCCTTTTGGGAGCTCACTGGCTTCGGGTTCCGTAGGAACTCCGAAGTTAAGCGAGAGGAGGGCTAGAGCAATCCCATGATGGGTGACCCACTGGGAAGTTGCTCGTGAGTTCCCAAAAACAAAACCGTGAGGGAATGGTAAGCCCAAAGCGGACAATATCGTGCTACGGTAGTGGAAGCGGGCCCGGGAAGTGATCCGCCCCGGGTCGGGATGTGACAATTTGGTATCAGAGCCTATCCCTGGCCGGAAATGTGCCGACGAGGACGTCGGGCCCCTAAGGGGGGTGGATTGTGACATCCCACATCGCCCAGGGGACTGATCCTTATATATATATATTCCATCTCTACCTAGCACGAGGCCTTTTAGGAGCTCACTGGCTGCGGGTTCCGTAGGAACTCCGAAGTTAAGCGAGAGGAAGGCTAGAGCAATCCCATGATGGGTGACCCACTGGGAAGTTGCTCGTGAGTTCCCAAAAACAAAATCGTGAGGGAATGGTAAGCTCAAAGCGGACAATATCGTGCTACGGTAGTGGAAGCGGGCCCGGGAAGTGATCCGCCCCGGGTCGGGATGTGACATGAGAACTAGGAGCAGGCAAGGTGCTAGCAGATCTTCGTGAGGGTACGTCAAGCAGGTGAGGCAAAGGGGGAAGAAGAACAGTAAAATCCTTGGAGGAAGCTTTTTTTTTGGTGAAGTGAAATGAAAACTGGTTAGGGTTAGAGAGTTGTGCTGATAACGTGCTATAAATAGGCAAAAGTTAAAGAGATAACCTTTACTAGGGACAGGAGCAAAGCAGTGCAAAGTATCACACTGTTTAGTTTCTTAACTATAACACTAAAGGATTGCAAGTAAAGAAAGTAGGGGAGGGATACTGATATTATTTCTTTCACTTTTTTCTTTGTTGTGCGTTTTGATCACACATGGAGTGCTCTTTATATAGAGCCACATCCATGAATGTTTACAACAATGAATGATTGCCTTTTTTGGAGAATTTCATACAAAAACAACACTATTGGCATGTGAAAATATACCTGTTAGCATGTGGGCATACATTCTCACAATTTACAACAGATGTGGATATTTAATGACGGAATTAATTTTTATTAAATTATAATGTGTGAGTTGAAAGAATAATTTTTTTTGCATTGACTATGATAGATATATGACCATTAACTAATGGATAATCTATTGCCCGGTTGGTATGATTATGGATAATTCCTAATTATTAATTTACGATTATAGATATGATTAATTTTAATAGTTACGGGTATGAATATGGCATTTTAGTCCCCAAATCAAATCTTTGCCACCCCCTACTTCTACCGAATACAAACCTACACATTTTCACAAATAGTTCCGAATTCGGTCCGAAACACCTATTTCGTAAAAAATGTTGTGTGATGTTTTTAATTTGTGTAATCCAACTCCAAGGGGTTTTAAGTTCCTCAACAGCGTCAGCAAATATACATGCCAATAAGGAGGAAAACACTCCAAATCACATAAAAAATACATGTACAAGTAATCGGCAAGCTAGCCGAATAAACTCCAAAATGTCTTAACTCATGTTTACAAGACTATGAAGAAATTAACGTGTGCATTGGGTGCACCAAAGACCATAACTTTACTTTTTTTTTTTTTTTTTTTTTTTATTATTATCAAAAAATCTACAAGAAAACATGATTTAGGTGGCGACAGACATTCGTCACATAAACATGAAAAAATCCAGCGTCACTACATTCGTCACCTATAGTTCATGTGACGAATTTTACATTCACCACATATTTTTTGTATTTGTGATGCTAAATTTTTCACTTAATAACTTTAACTATGATGAAATAAGCATCACAAAACATAAAAGTCAATGACCTATAAGTTCGTCACATAACAAATGTATAAGTGAGGAATTTATCGTCACCCAATTTGATCCTAGAATGTTATGGCTAAGAATAAGTAAGACTGAAAGCGTCACATATTCCTTTGACATGTGGTGCAATTTGTGTCAAAATCATAAACCTATTAGAAACATTTCATGACGAACCAATTACCACATATTCCCTGCTTCATCATCTAGAATTAGAATTCATAACAAATATGAGGCAATACTTTAGTTAATCACATTTCATTGATCCATAAGTTAGATTACATCCAATACATACACCAAGTGTATATCTCAAAAGCTAACATAAGCATCCTAACACCTCTAAACATATTGAGATGCTAACAAGATTCTAAGGCATTGAGTCGGTAACAAAACAGGTATACCGTGTGCATATTTGAAACCAACAACAAAATACATAAGTCATCAGCCATGTCATGGTCTTTAGTTTAGCACAGGTATCATTGTCATTTGAAAAATCACCATCACTACCTCAAGTGCTTCTTGAATACTTTCTCCTTTAACTCCATCCTTCTTTTTCTTCATCTTATCCTTACATAATAAAAGAGAAGAAAATAAACATTGGTGTCTAGAGAATAGCAGGTGCATTGAGAATTTGAATAACAAAAGAGAAGAAAATAAGAATTGAAGGAATAGTTAACAGTAAGAAGAACGAAACAAAACAGAGGAGCCTATCTAAATTACACAATGAGTTTTATATGTACTTTAATTTCATTACCATGCGAGCTTTCCTTGCATGTCGGATGAAATGGTTTTGCCTCTCCCTTGTGGTAATACTATTGTTTCTTACATTTATATGAATTTTGCTTGAAAACATCCTACATTAAAAGGCCATTAATTAACAAGAAAAACATATCTAGTTTCATACCATAGACTACTTATTCACTGTAATTTTAAAACATTCAGCTTTTATAAAGATCAAATTGATATCACTACTAATGAAGGCTAAATTGATGTCACTACCTCTGGAGATGTTGTTGGTCCGCCCTTGGCTTGCAATCCTTCAGTTGTGCTATCATATCCTCATTTTCCTTTTGCGTATCTGATTTCACTAATTTATCATAGCCTAGTTACTAAGTTATCAAGACTCCAAATGTCAGGACTAGATAATCTACTAACAAAAGATAAAATTAACAAAAAACTACTTAAATTATAATTAAACATCTAAACCAATCTGCGATTGCATGAATATGAAGATCTGCCAAAATTTAATAAAAACCCAACTCCAACACCATTCCTAAGACCAAAATCTAACTTAGTATAGAAAAAAAAGGTGAATAACATATTAGTTTTCCAAATTCAATATCCTTCAAAAGGTGAGTTCTGGAAGTTGTGGCTTTTACTTAAGTTACCAAGTATGTTGATAAAACCCAAAACTTGCATAGTATAAAACCTATACCGACAACATCTTGGTTTAAAAACACGAGCAGGAGAACTACCCTTGTCAAAAACCATGACCAACCTGCAAACAACAGAATCACAACAAGTCATCTAGATGTCAATCTACCTCAAATTAAGGGATTAGACTTAATAGGGAAACCCATGGAAAGAGGAAACATAAAATCTGGCAGCATTAGTCACCTCATATCGTCTAATATCCATAAGCAGCATCAGTCATCCCATATTGTCTAATATCCATATGTAGTATCAGTATGCAGCATCAGTCATATGCAGCATCAGTCACCCCATATTGTCTAATAAGAACTGAGCAGCTAAAAATATATATAGGAGAAATATATATGTTTCTTAAATCCTTCTTTATATAGTTTTTCATGGTTTTCTAGGACTCCAAATAATAACACTAATAAACAGAAAAGACATTGCCACTGATAATTAGAAGAAAGAAAATCATCTATGTTGGGGGAAATCATTCTGCTTGCCCAAGAGACCATTTTCAATCTTTTTCAAATGCAGAGCACTTAAAAGAATTATGGTTCAAATTTTAGAGCAATTCAAAGCTAAATCAAACAACTTTCCTTTTCAATAAATGGTATCACCAACTCAAATTTTTTTACCTTCAATCACCATGTAAAACCAAGGAGCCCAAAAAAAAAAAAATACCAACTTGCAAGTTCATAACAAACAAAAAATTGAAATAGAAAGACCAAATAAAACAACTTATTAAAGCCTCCATATGTGCAAATAAATCATTTGAATAATCCCCAACGATTACCCAGAATAAAATAGCCAGTGACAAATACATACAATCTCACAAGGAAACAGAATGTAGTAAGAAAAAAGAAGAAATTCTTACAAGTTTCTTTGATAAAGTTATTGATTAATGTTCCTTCCTTCATTTTTTTTTGTTTGTAAATTTGTGAATGTAAACCTACAAGTTCCAAAAACAAATAAAAATAACCAGGGATATATATATACTATTTATATATAAATCTAAAAATTAAAAACCAAATTTTACCCAATTAGAGTCCTTGAAAGATGGATGAAGAGGTCCAAGGCTGGTGGCGTGCTCAATTTGGAGTCAATTACCTGCAAATCCAAAACCCTAAGTTAAAAAGAATGATAAAAATTAAATTCGTTAACCATTTGGCCACATAGTAGTCTCGTAGGCGTGGAGAAATTTGGCATAGATTTATGTAGCTGGTGGAAAGGGTTTCTATGGTTCTTGGGTTTTTGGTGGTGGCGCAAGAAACTGGAAGAAGGTTGAGATGCGATAGGGTGTGGATTTGGTTGTTGGTTGAATTGGTCTCTAGGGTTTTTGGTTGTGGAGTGTGATAGACATCGAATAGATGAGAGAGGGTTTGAGCATATGGCTTAGAAGATCCCGATAATGTCGCGATAGAGAGAGAAGAAGATTAAGAGACGCGTTGGTTGGCTTGGGTCACAGTGATGAGAAATGGGAGAAGTCTGAGAGAGAGAAAGTGAAAGTGAAAGAGAACGGTTTAGAATTTAGATGGGCTTTCTCAAATTTGTTTAATACTTTATTATGTTTCTTTTTTCTTTTTTTATTTATTTACTATTGGAAAAGTGATGAATTACTTTCGTCACCGAGACTACACATATGCGACCCTTTTGCAATTCCTCACATATCATACTTCATTAGGGTGTTATTGTTCCTCGCCATAGATTTTAGTAAGGACTTCAAAATATGTGACGAATTTTTAGGCGCCACGTAAAATTTGGTCACCTATTCCATGTTTTCTTGTAGAAGTGCCTCCATGTTCATAAAATGTGTCATACATCCATCCCTGGTTCAGGGTATGAAACATACTGTTTTGAAGCTCTTAATTGACTCAAAATTGAAAAACCAAATGCCGTCATTCTAGGACAAAACTAATCACCACATCACATCAGTTTTGGGAAAAGCTTAGGAACAACCTGCATTGCGCAATTGTTGCTTTAGGCTTTTAGGTGAACAAACAAAACGGTGTAAATGAGTTTCAAGACAATTGAACACTACTACTTACCCATTTGTCGATACAAGACCAGAAATCAAAATTCTGTCCAGTACAATGCTTGTGTCCGCTATCATCATCTTGGATCCTCTTAACGCATGCTTGCAACAAAGTATGAAATTGCCATTTTCACACACCCCTTGCAAACTAATTCAAATTATAAGGTCACAAACTTCCGTGTAGGTCAACCATTTTGGGAAAGACTCGTGTTTCCTTGTTCATCTCTGGCATGTAGCAGAGAATGCACAAAAGGTAGAAAACCACAAAATAATTACAGTGAAGAGTTTGACAGTTAATACTCTATATTTTATCTCTGGCTTGATACATTCCCTCTTAGCCAAATGACTGATATGATTGTTGGCAGATGATGAGTTTCCACTTCGGTAATCGATTTTTGATTCCTTTAGTTTACGAGTTTTTCTATTGAAAAGTGCTTTTTTCCTGCAAAACACCACTGATAGTGTGAATAGAGGTAAACCTGCCACTGAAAATAACCATATCAAAAGCACTTTTCATATCAAAAGCACTGTTCCAAAAAAAAAAAAAAAACTTTTTTAGTTTTTAAATTTTTTAATATCGACATGGGCCTATATTGACACGTGATGAACAATCATTGTCCACGTGGGCGCAATATCACCAGTTAATGGCTAACTTAACAAACAGCTGAACAGATGTATGAGACTATCCCAAAATTAAGACTTGAGGTATGATTCTGGAATGAAAAAAACTTCATGCACCACCACGAAACTTTAAGATGGTAAACTGAGATTAACTCTAAAATTAAATACCCACTAAGAAGTGAGCTTATTTTGAGGGAATTGGGATGTGGTTGGCCCCAATGCATATTCTCGGTCCAGACGTAAGTTGTAAACTATTGCAAGGGTTGCTAAACCAAATAGTAGTAATCACTTCTATCAATGGAGGCATTCTCATCTGATTGTCGATTTGCTCCACCTATGTATGTGACGTTGACGCAGTACGAGCGTAGAATGATTACAAACGTAAATATTCAAGAACAAAGGTTTCTAGAATTCATCAAAGATTGGGACAAAATCAAAAGGTTGTTTGATTAGTAATTGAAAGATGACATTACAATAAAAGGCAACGGCTTAAATAACCTATTCAAAACGCGATGGGGAAGTTAATGGGGCTTAGGGAATTAAACGAAATCAAAATGATATCAATCGGACGACAAACGAAATGTTTGATTTTTATTACAGAAATTAAAATGCAATTTTGGAAGTTTAAACGATTGTTTTTTGCCTTAAACACAAAAGACTTATGGTTATGACTTGTTCTGCTCGCAATTCTCTTTAAAACGACATATCATACACCCAATTTTTGCCATCAGAATATTCTTATTGCATTTTATGTCGCTATATCTATTAGGGGTGGTTCGAAAATCCGAAAACCGAAAAAAAAAAAAAAAGGGACCGAAAATCAAACCGAGGCCAAAAAAAATCGAACCAAAACTGTCAAACAGAACCGAACCGAATCTGATTAGTTCGATTTCGATTTCCAAGGTTTGAAAATCGAACCGAACCGAAATATTTTTTTAATTATAAAAAACAAAAAAGGAAATTATAGCCAAAGGGGTTCGAACCCATTCCTGTTTGATCGAGTACCTTTCCCTTAAACCAACTTGACAACGAGTTTTTTCTTGCTAATATCGTTATAAGTAGCGTATTTATAGAAAGCTTCATAATTGTTTAATAGATTATCAATTCCCATCTTTCATCCCAATCCCAACTTTTCTTTAACCCTAGCCGCTTCGTTCCCAATTCCCATCTTTCATCGTCCTCTTCTCTCTCTCTCTCCAACCAAACACAACCAAAACCCAGAAATCAAGCTCACCCACTTCCCCAACCTCCAATTCCCACCTCCCCTCAATTTCTTGGAAAAATGAACCATGGTGGAGACTTTGCAGCTACAACGTTTTCACTCGCCGAGGTAAGTTTTGAGCTGAATAAGTAACATTTTGTTTTGTTCTCCTTTGCAACAATGATCAAAAGTTTTGAGCTGAATATCAAACAGACCCTTATTTTCTTTTTCTTTTTTCGTCTAAGTCGAGCCATATCCAATCCTGCATCAGACTCCTCCACTCGTAAGGAACTCGACCTCGATTTCGTCTTAAATTTGATTTTGACGTTAGGAATCACGAAGATAGATAAACACATATTATCCTCCTACCATATCAACCGCAATAGTTTGAGTTTTATCATAACTTGTTCGCCATGAATGCTAAATTGAATGTCTTCTTCTATTATGTGCACTAGATTTTGTGTTTCTCTTTATATTAATAATTCAAAGATGATTACAACAATAGTTGTTTGATTAATAATTGAAAGGCGATTACAACAAGAGCCAACCGTTAACTTAAATAACCTGATTACAACACCCTCGGGTGGCTCAAAGGCTTTAGGAAATTGAATGAAAACAAAATGACATTAATCGGACGACAAACAAAAAGTTTAGTCCTTATTATAGAAATTAAAATGCTGTTGTTTTTTTTTGCCTTAAACACGACATACTCATGGTATCTCCCACGATCAACGTTGAAGAGAGGTTTGTATTTCCCGATATCAATTGCCATTAGAATAGGGAAAATCTCGACTCTGACACCAATTGACGTAGAACCAGCGCATAAGGATTACAAATGTAATCCTAATGAAGAACAAAGGTTTTTGAAATCCACCAGAAATTGGGATAAAACCAAAAATTTGTTTGATTATTGATTGAAAGATCACATTACAAAGGAACCCATCAACCTAAGTAACATAATCAAGAAGTCCTGGGGAAGCTAAAGGGGCTTATGGAATTTAACGAAATCAAAATGACACTAATCAGATGATCACAAACGAAAAGTTTGATTTTTATTACGGAAATTAAAATGCGCTTTTGAAAGCCTAAACGATCATTTTATTTTCTTTATCTTTCTTCGTTTGAGTTGACCCGTATTTTGCCCCACACCAATCATCGAGTGCAAAAAACTTTAGACGAGTACACGCACGCAAACACATAATTCAGCAAGAATATGGAATAGCTACTGCTTTTAGAGGATATTTTCTACGGACATGCACACCCGTTGATTCGGACATGTCTAGGTCCTCCCCTCTTGCACCACCAGGCAATGCCCAATCGAACTTGTGCACTAAATTTGCCAAAGTAATCTCTTCAACAGCCACAGCAAACTGCGTTCCAGGGCAACCACGTCGGCCAGCCCCAAACGGAATTAGTTCTAAGTCATTCCCTTTATAATCTATGTCACTACTCAAGAACCTTTCCGGCTCGTACTCCTCTGGGTTGTTGTATGACTTGGGATCTCTCCCAATCTGCCATGCATTCACTATAACCAGTGTGCTGGCCTTGATGTTGTAACCGTTTATTTTCACATCTTGGGTTGAGATCCTAGGCAACAGTAGCGGAAGTGGAGGATGTAAGCGAAGAGCCTCCTTAATCACCGCCTTCAAGTAGTGCATTCCTACTAAATCATCCTCCGTTACGTCCGTTTTGTTGCCGACTGTTCCTCGTACCTCGTCCTGCAATTTTTTCATCACTCTAGGATGCCTTAAAAGCTCGGACATTGTCCACTCTAGGGTTGTAGATGTCGTATCAGTGCCAGCCGCAAACATATCCTGCAACAGTATTCATCAATTTTATTAAATCCTAAACATATATTGCATTGCTTATTCGTCACACACACAGCAGTACGAGAGAATGTCCATTACCAAGGTAATAGCTTTGATGCAAACTCGATCGAGAGGAATAGCAAGCACGTTTTCTTTCTGAAGGGAAAGCAAAACGTCCACAATATCCTTTTCGTCCTCGTTCTTGACATGACCATCGCCATCCATATGCTCTTGAACAACTGTCTCTAAGAAGTCATCTAATCGTTTAGCGAGATCGTCTTGTTTAGCATCCAAACCACTGAGACGCGAGAACCAAGAAAGCCATGGGATATAGTCACCAATATTGATGCGTGATGCTATCTCATTCAACTCCATGGCAAGCCCCTTAAACATCTTCCCATCTTGGTTGCCATCGCTGTACTTGGTCCCAAGTGTAACTCTAAAGATAACGTCCTTGGTATGCGTCCGGAAGATATCGCTTAAATTAAAAACTGACGATGTGGTTGAAGTTGATTGCTTCATGATGTTGCTGATCATGGATTTGGCTTCCTCTTCTCTCACAGCGCGAAAAGAGCGCACCTTTTTGCTGCTCAGAAGATTTAACACACATATGCTCTTGATCTGCCTCCAATACTCGCCATAAGGCGCCGATGCCACATCTTTGCAGTCGTAGAGAAATTTCTTAAAGAAGGTGATCTTGGGTCTGTTGGAGAGTGGAATGTCATGGGTCTTCATGACCTCGGAGGCAGCCTCAGCCGACGAGACCACGAGGACTGGCATGCTTCCGAAATGGAGCATCATGAGAGGCCCGTGCCGTTGAGCCAAAGCTCGAAGGGAGCGATGAGGGTACAACCCTAGTTGGTGAAGGTTTCCGATGACAGGCAGCTTTCGCGGAGAAGGTGGCGATGGGTTTGGGGTGGAGGTGGTGAAGGACCATTTGTATATGAGGATGAGGAAAATGGCTGCCAGTAAGAAATATTTGGAGGAAAATGGTTGCAATAAGCTTGATAGGACTTCAGCTATTAGTTTGATCAGCTGCACCATTTTCTTTTCTGCAAATCTCTTCTTCTTCTTCCCTAACCGACTGAAAATATATATAAGGTCGATCTGGTTCCCCTTTTTAACGAAAAAGGTTGAACAGCACACATCAAGGGTAAAAATAAATATATAAATTAACAAAATAATCATTTGTGTTGTGGAAATAGTACCACTGAATAAACAACCAAATTACAAGAGGGGTGACTTTGAATACGGTTCTTAATTATCAATGTTCTTTAACTGAAACTTTATTGGTTTTCAATTTTTTATTGAAGTTCCTGAAATTAATTCAATAATCATTCTATGTTAGTATAATTTTTAAATTAAAATTTGATATTTTTAGTTACATATATTAATGAGATTTTAAATAAAATCCATGATTTGTGGGATTGAAAATATTAAAAGATAAATTATACTTATATAAAAAAGTATAATTTAACAAATTACACTTAAATAAAACCCGTGATTTGTTATTACTTATATTAATGACATTTTACGTACAAAAAATTGGTACATTTGTATAAAAATGTCGGTAAATTTTACATACAAAAAGTTGGTACATTTTACACAAAAAGGTGGTACGTTTTATATAAAAAAAATGGGTACATTTTGTATAAAAAAAAAAAACAACGGGTACATTTTATATAAAAAAAACAATGGGTACATTTTAGATTAAAATAAATAAATAGGTCTTACATTAAAAAATGAGTACATTTTACGTGAAAAAAAATGGTACTTAAAAAAAAAAGGTACATTTTTGGTATAACAAAGTGGTACATTTAAAAAAAAAAAAAAAAAAAAGGTACATTATGAGAAAATTATGGGTACAAATAAAAGGTTAAAAAATTATGAGTACAAATCAAAGTTTGCAAAATATGGACACAAAAAGAAATTAATATATGGGTACAAACTAAAACTAAAAAGAAAATTGGTACAATTTAAAAAAAAAAAGTTGCAAATTAAAAATGGGTACAAACTAAAAATAAAAGTATATGATACAATCATTAATATAAATATATCAAATGTATAGCTTCTAACACTAACTGAATACATTTAAAAAATTAATTTAATTATTTTGACATTTAAAATATACTATTATTAAAATAATTAATGATGTTCATTATAACCTAAGGACCTTAAAAAAAAATTTTAAATGAATAAGATTTTACTCAATGAAATTGAAAAAAGAAGAATGGGAACCTAATTTCGCCTTACAAGGGACTTAAAACAAGAACACCATAAAATGTGGGAAAAAAAATCATGATATATATACACCCCATATATCACTGTCTTGGATCTACATATATGGCCTTGTTTTGGTATAGAGGATTGGATTGGAATGAATAACTCTTTAAATTTAAATTATTTTGAAGGTGTCACTTAGTACTACAGTCTAATTATATTCCTCTTTATTTGTAAGTGAGATGTCTTAAGTTTTTTTCCATAAGTGATATTCTTAAAATCTGCTGATTTAATTTATGTTTTGCTTATATGTTTTCTTTAATTTAAATCGTTTGGGTCTTATTTTCATATTTTAAATTCATAAATTCAATCTCTTTTCTAAAATGTGTTTTTAAATAGTATATTAAGGATTAGTTTAAATACAAATTATTTGTTCAATCTCTGTGCAGAACAACCTTCTACAAGCGATTATACTACAATTATGTATAAATAATCGACACATTGGCTAGATGACTCCAAATCGTCCTAACTTGTAGTTTACCCAAAAAAAAAAAAAAACTTGTGTTTACAAGACTATCAAGAAATTATCGTGCGCATCAGGCACACCAAAGAGCTTAACTTTACTTTTTGTTGATCACAAAATCAGTGCCTCCATGTTCATAAAATGTGTCAATCATCCATCCCTAGTTCAGGGAACAAAACATACTGTTTAGAAGTATTTAACTGACTCAAAAATTGAAAACCAAATGCAGTCATTCTAGGAAAAAACTAATCACCACAGCACTTCAGTTTCGGGAAAAGCTTCGGAGCAACCTGCATCGAGCAATTGTAGTTTTAGACTTTTAGGTGAACAAGCAAGACAGTTAACTAAATGAGTTTCAAGAAAGACTTATCTTTTCTTCTACGATTGCCAGTTATATTGTTTTTATTTTTTAATGTTGTAAATATGGTGGATGGCCCAAATGATGAATTTTAAGCTGACAATTGAAGCCTTTACTGTGCACACGAAGACGTTGAAGCCTGAAAATTGAAGTCTTTACTGTTCACATGGAGACTTTCTAAGTAATGTTAGTTTGCTTTCTGTAATTGTCGGCTGAAAAACCTTTATACATGATTTGCATTATTTACACGTAACAAAATATCACACGCAAAACAAAGAAGAGAGATGCAGAAGAAAAATACAATGAGCTATACCAGGGCCAGAAAGAAGGGCAAAAATAGTGAGAGATATTTTTGTACTCTTAATATTTCAGATAATGAAAGAAACTAGCACCGAGGACATAGGTACAGTTGCCAAACCTCATAAATATTATGCCTTATTTACTTTATATTTTATGTCTACTTCTCAACATGTTGTCAGCACAACAAGCTCTCATGTCAGTGGAAGGCTCGACACCATGAATCTGATGAAGCACTACCTACCTTTCACCTCTTTCAATCAGAATCTCATAGATAAGAAAATCATTTTATTACCTCTGTATGACTCATTTCTTAAATCAAGTATGTAACTTGTCATATGAGTTTAGATTATTATTGGCAGAAGCAACAAAGAAGAAGTGTTGAGTCGATTTCATATTATATTTTACCTTATTTTTAGTATGTTTTGGTGAGATATTGATACTCTGTTTTATATTTCAACTGTAGGACATGTGACTTTATTCTATGCAAAAAGTGATGAAACGTTTTGGGGAACTTCCGATTGGAGTAGAGTCACAAGTGACCACCGCACAGTGCTGGAAAATTGACTTGTTGAGCTTAATTCTGACTTTAGTGTATGAAGATGGCGTTTTCTGCAGTTTAGCCAAAGTTGTAGAAAACGTCCTGATCTTTCAAACAAGACTTTTGGCCTTTTTTGCATTGGTTTAGTCCAGAAACCTGTAGAGTTTCTAACTGGCAGATTGCCTAGTTGGATTAGGATTGTGATTTTAAGTTATCCTTTTGTTATTTTGCTTCTAGTTTTTAAGAAGACCTTCCTAGGTGGGATTATGAGTAAGGTGTTGCTTACAAGCACCCAGTTGGCCATTAGGGTTCTTTACACGAATTAAGAGAACTCTGCATATAGCTCTGGCGCTCTGCAAACTTCAAACGACAAGGGTGTTTTGCCTATACTGAATATGTAATTAATTCCTTTTCCTAGGGCGAAGTCACGAGCCTTAGCATGAATATGTAATTCTCATCAAATTTCTTATGAATTTATGCATGCTTGCTTTGAATTATTAATCATTCTGTTTAAACTATCTAATTGACCTAGTGAGGAGGGAGTTAGACAAGTAATTTGACGCAATTTCTGATGGAACATCACCTAAAATTGAGGATGGCTTTTTGTGATTGATAATTGTAATTTCACTTAAGGTGAATATCACGCTCTTAAGCATTGCAAGGTTTTTCAAAGGGTTATCACATAACTTAATGAGTCCTACATGTTCATATTTGATCTGAACACCATAGTCATATTGCATGTTAAATATACGTTTTCGCTTGAACATTTCGAGAAGAATATGTATTAAGAAAACCTAACCTTCAAAACATGTATGTCGTAATTCATTATTAATTGGTAGAACAGTGTAGAATTGTTCATGGCGACGACTAAACTTCAATCTTTTCCACAAGTGATTTTCTTAAAAAACTGTTTAAATTTCTTCTTGCCGAGTGTGATTTTGTTCTTTTAATTATTTTTGTTTCTTTTATTTACATCTTTTAAATTTCACAATCTCAATCTTTTTCTAAAAATATGTTTCAAATAGTTAATTAAGGATTAGTTTAAATACAAGTTATTCGTTCAATTTCTGTGGAAGAACCACCTTATTTGAGCATTCATACTACAACTATTTTGTACTCCTGCAAGTATTTTATGAGATTTTGACCCTACTTGCCGAACCTTGTAAATATTATGTCTGATTTACTTTATAGTTCACTGCACACATATTGTTTATTTCACAATATTTAAAAGTTCCATCATTTGACCCGATTTAATCAAATCCTTCAACAGTTTTATATATTTACTAAGATTCAATCTGCATTTCTGCAGCATGCTCATGCATTTTTTTGAGGGGTGATATAGCTACATACCTTTTTTTACTTCTCACACACCTCTTATTAATTTCTGTCCTTTGATATTTTTTAATTCATTCAATCCGACGGCCGAAACATAAAAAGGTGTGTGAGAAATAAAAGAGGTATGTGGATAACACATCCCTTTTTTATGCATCCAAGCTTTTCAAAAGTGTCTACTATGTTTTTTCCTAACCTGTTAAAACTGCGACCTAGTTTCTAATTTTTTCGTGTCAAATTTTCATGTTCATAAAATTGCCATATCTAGTTCACACCCCATTTTCCCTTGTAATTGGATACTTCTAAAATCTAGTACTTGTGCGCTTGTAAATATATAGTTTCAAAGTTCAACTCTACAATGGTGACTTCAATTCGATACTAAATGACGTACCTACGTATTTTCATAAATAGTTCCGAATTCAATCCAACAGCCTATCTCGTCAAGAATGTTGTGTGATGTTTGTAATTTGTGTACAACAGCGTCAGCAAATATACAGGCCAATAAGGAGGAAACACTCTAAATCACATAAAAACACATGAAGAAATCAACACACTAGCTAGATAACTCTAAAGCGTCTTAACTCATGTTGTCCATATATTATCGCGTGCATCGGGCACACCAAAGAGCATAACTCTACTTTTTATTGATCACAAATGCAGTGCCTCCATGTTCATAAAATGCGTCATACATCCATCCCTAGTTCAGGGTATAAAACATACTGTTTTGAAGCATTTAACTGGCTTAGAAATTGAAAAACCAAATGCCGTCAGTCTAGGACAAAAATAATAACCACATCACTTCAGTTTCGGGAAGAGCTTCGGAGCAACCTGCACCGCGCAATTGTAGTTTTAG